TGCACAACGAAAAATAAGAAAAGAAGAGATCATAAAATTTCACGAATCCATAAAGCCGTTCGACTTCTAACCAATTCAACTTAACTACATGTATGCTTCTTTCCTCTACTCTTGAAAAAGTACAAGTTCATATAACCGGTCTTAATGCGATAAATCATTTATGTAATCTGGGAGGTTTTGGACCAGTGATTACGATAGTAATCACATCCAGTCTAGCATGCAGGGAAATATACTTCTGAAAATATCCATCAGAAAACAGATAGACGACTACCACACAGTTGCAAAAGAAGATCTTTTTTAAAAAGATCGTGAAAGAAAATTATTTACAGAGAAATATGTCAACTACAGTGTTGTCACCAGAGAGAATTGGAACCATGGTATAGCTGCTCGTCTCATATTACTGGAAACATATAAGTGGGAATGAAGAAAGATAAAAAATGAAAAATAATCATATACAACAAAGAAGGGATAAAGATACAGCACATTCATATATATGACAAAAGAAAGGATTTTTTTTCACAAGTGTAAGCTATATCACAGAGAACATCAATGGTGATATTTGTAAATCCGACTTCATAGACAGTAAGGTTGTGGTTGTAACGAAATCAGGAGAACACCGTTTTTCTTATTTGGGTTCTCATGCTTTGTCGCAAACTCGACCGTTTGGAATCTGCACAGATGTCCTAGGAAATATCTTAGTGTACCTTAGTAATGATCACAGAATAAATCCTCAATTTACGTATATGGATCCTACGGAATTTGAAATCCATATGTTGGATCAGGACGATGAGCTTCAGTCTTTTATTTTAGGACAACATAAATCTTTAACCTATCTCCGTGCTCTCTGCGTTGATGACCAACACAATCTAATGATAGGAAGTTTGGATGGCCCTACTATCATTGTGTACAAATATCTCGAGTGCTATGACACGCCGTGAAAAAACATTGGATTGAAATACTAGACAACTGATTTTCTTAAATACACGAAAATAGCCTTGTGACCCATAACCCACAAAACAGAGATATACTTATGGACGCTAAAAGATTTTACCCAATATTAGAACAATCGGAAAATATGAAAAGTTTAATACAACCAAATGATATTATCAACAGTCGACGACAAGCACTCAGTCTTTAAAAAATGATAACCAAGGCCCGTTTTACTACACAGGAGGAAATTCCAACAAATTAAATTTGTGGAGTTTCAAGATGCGGAACATGTACAGCTTTAGAAGAGGGAAATAGAATCCAACTTAAATAAGGAATGGAAATTTGAACCAACTTATCAGTGAACTGTAAATCTGAAAACGTTATCTACTATGCAATCTGTCCAACGTGCAAAGAATACTATATTTGACAAACGGGAAAACTAATTGCCCGGGTTCGTATACACAACAAATTAAAAACCCTGGTGTGCGTAATATACCATGTTGTGAAAATTTTGCAAAATGCGGCAAAGGAATATTTAGGATTATTCCCTTTATATAAACTTCCCAATGAGAGAGAAAATCTGCGTTTGGCAAAGAAGACTATTTTATTAAACTCTTTTAGCCAAAGCTTAATCGCAAGTGAAACTTTATTTTATGTGATTTTTTAATACATTTTCAACAGTGAAATACTGAAATTTATTTATTGAATAAAAGTGATAGTCTGTCACAGTGCGAAAGGATATTAAAGTCTTATCCTGTCACAGTGTGACAGAATGTTAGAAGTGCTGCAAAAACATGTATTTTCCTTCCCTTTACAAAGAATGTTATTAAAAAAAAATACTCCCCGGCCTGTTTTAAGATGGAGAGAGTAAATAAACCATCCTGAAAGAGACTACAACCACCCAAGTTTCTCCAAACAATGTTTACAATGTTTTCAATCTCACTAAGCTATGATGTCTCAAACAATCAATTATGACGTCATCTAACCTATGACACTGTTGAGATTCCATATCCAACTTGTGTCAGTTCCTGAAATTCTGGATCTGGGTTTCTAAATACACTCTCCATACTGTAAAAGCTTTTCCAGAATCTTGAAAACTTCCATTGTGTACATCTGTTGAAAGCGCATTCCAAAAAATGTGTTTCAGGAACTAAGGTACGATAAACATACAGGCAGCTGAAAATAGCAATCTGGTCCAATCACAAGTAATGACTTTAATTCTGTGTTGTGATCTTTTCTATAGAGTTGGAGAATGTCAATAGTACGTTGCTATCATTTCTTTTATCTGGGATCATGAAAACCCTAGCTCTGGGCACTTTTAGTCACTTCAGGACTTAAAGTCACTTTTTAGAAATCTTTTCGAATTTCGGACAGCAAAGAGAGAGAGAGAGAGAGAGAGAGAGAGAGAGAGAGAGCAAACATTCTGATGAATTTTCCCGACATAATTGAGCCTGGGATACCAGAGTTTATACAGGGGGAAAAAGAAAAGCTTTCTGGTCGTATCACTACATGTGTACAACAAAAGAAGATTTAAATTGAAGACAAGGCATTTTAAGCATCCCACTAGCCCTGCCTCTCCAACAAAAACAACAGAAAAGTATAGAGCTTTCTTCCTCTATGACGAAAATACAGGAGATTGAAATGCAAATATTCAATTATCACTGATACATGAACCATTTGGTAAATTTTGGGCCAGTGATTATAATGGTAATATCATTCAGTCTGACATGCTAGAAAATATACTTCAGAAAATATCCACCGATAGAGACAAAATGGGCTACCACATGGTTACAAAAAATGGAGATTTACTTTACACAGATGATGAAAAGAGAGTCATCTACATATACATTTTCAACTCTGAAATGAAAACCACAGAACAGATTACCACCCCGCGGGATTGGGAGCCATATTCCATCTGCTCTTCTCACATTAAGGGGGACATGTTGGATGGAATGAAAAAAGATAAAGAATGGATAATAACAAGATACAACAGAAGAGGAAAGAAGTTACAGAACATCCAGAAAAATGATAAAGAAAAGGGTCTAGACTCCAGTGTAAAATACATTATAGAGAGAACATTAATGGTGAAATGTGTACATAAGACTTCCACTCTTGTAAAGTAGTAGTAGTGCCCAGCTCAGGGTAGTATAAGTTCTCTTACTTTGGTTCTTCTAATGTTTACGAATTTCATCCATGTGGAATCTGCACAGATGTCCTGGGGAATATCTTGGTGTGAAATGGTTGCAGTGAAAGTCTTGAAAAGAGTTTAATAGTTGATCCTTTTAAAAGTGAATTCGGAATCCATTTGCTGGACCAGGACGGTCGGTTTCTGTCACATCTACTCAAACATCCATCTTCACCTAACCCCCGTGCTCTTTGTTTTGATAACCAACACAATCTAATGGTGGGAAGTAAGAACAGTCCTACTGTCACTGTGTACAAGTATCTCCCGAGAAAAGGCACGTTGTAAAATCATTCTTAGTATTAGTCCTCTTACTTTCTTAAATACTGATATACCAGTCCTACTGTCACTGTGTACAAGTATCTCCAGAGCAGAGGCAACTAGTGAAAATCATTCAAGGAATTTCAAAGGAAATACTAAATGACTGCATTTCCATATATTCTCCCAGCAATCATTTATCAATTGATCACCATATTCTTCATGAGTTTTAGCGTCCTTTCTAGGAATTCAATCAGACAAAAATTTAAATGCTTCTTTTTTGCGTTTTGACAACAGGTTTCTTTTGAATTAAGAAACTATGACTGAAGTACTACTGTTTCAATAATGTAAACATATTTAACCATTTAATCATAATCTTAATGGAAACACTTGAAATGCTGATATCACCATATTTTCACTTAATTTTTGGGTGATACTTTTTGTAACCAGTTATGGCATCACAGGAAAAAATTAAAAAATAAATAGTTATGGTATATGACGGGCCAAAAAAAGTTTTTCAGGGAACATGTTGTTAGAACATAAAAAAAAATTATCATACTCAAAATACTGTAGAAATCACGTGTGACAATTTTTTATGCATAACAGAAACTCTGTTCTTCCTGCTAGTGTCTTAATATTTAGTTTCTTTCAAGGGCTGAGGGTATTTAGCAAAATTGTAATCTATACTCAATTTGAAATAAATAGAGTGAACTCACTGTATTCTAAGTTATTGTCAGACTTACATGTATCATTGGAAATCATTTTTGTTGTTGTTCTTGTTACATGCATTCAAGGAGTTTATCTAATACCACTTTACAGACTATATCTTCATTTCATTTTTAGGACACAAGGTTCAGACGAACTTTTTATCAAAAATCATGAAAATAAAAATAAATCAGTGCGAGACATAAAGTAAAAGACCAAATCTGTATTAGTAAAATAATTCATTTTTGCCACATACAGTTAAATTGTTCAAGATCTCTAAATAATGTCCAATTTTTTATACATTTGGGACTGTGATGGCAAAACGACAGAATTTTGAAGATGATATAGAGTCTATAATTTCATATTTATAAATTTTGATATTTGCATCAATTACAACAAAGTAAGTTCAAAAATACACGTATACACAAACCCATGCATTCAATTTTTTAGACTGTAGCATTATCCATAAAACATTTTATAAAATTATTTTTTTTTCATTCAACAAGACTTGAAACAGCTTATTCCATAAGTATATCTGAATACTAAATGCCCCCTACCACCCCCAACCACCACCACCAAGGCATAGCTTATGACCAATTGGAAGCCTTAAGATGGCCCAAGAACCCCCGTCTCATTTCCACAAACATCTCACTTTAGCTGGTTATACTACAGAAGATGTAACAGTTTTTTCAACGTGGTTGTAAATAAAATTTCTGTTCAATCTGCGATGGAAAAATTACACATATTTTTTAGGATTGCCATTGTGTGTCTTTTCTGAAATTTAAATACGCCTGTAGCAAATTTCCACAGAGTTTTGTGACTGCATACTTAGCTTAAATTTATTCTACACAGAAAAAAAGTATGTTTACCGTATTCATTTGGTTTTTTTAATGGAACATGAGTACAGCGACAAAGGAGACAGCTGTAAGCATCAATACATTTTTATTTAAACAACTGTATGTACAATGCACATTATAAAGTATGAAATTTTCTTGTACATATTCTCCAAGATTTAAATACTCACAAATAAAAGAGAGTGTCTCATGAAATTATCAGATTATTTTTACTTTAGATTTAATACATAAAGATACTTTTTGTACATTTAATGTTCCTTGCAAATAAAACAGCTTCACAGTTAATTCATTAAAAATGTCTCGTAAAAAGTTTATAAATAACATCCATAGAAAATATAGATTCCAACAAAGCTTCATGGCTATTGAATAAGCAGGATAATTTAATGCAGCTGTGATTACACCGTGATGGCTTTTTTTTATTGCATGCACTTTCTGTGAAGCATGAACCCATTAAAGTAAAGCATCAAATTGTTGTCCTGGATATTAGATGGCTTTAACCGAAGTAAAAACTAGCCAGAGAACATATGTCATAAGATTTGTTGCATTAGTACAGCACAAAACAGCATCCAGTTAGCACTATGAGCATTTACAAAGTTCTCTAGGAAATGTGAGATTGTATGTATGTACGTTGGGTTCATAATACCCAGCACTATAAGTTAAGGTTAGTCATGATGTGCTGTACAGCGGGGTACAGTATACACTCGGCACTCTGGGCGTGGTAGAAGTTTTGTAGGAGCTGTGACACGGCCATGTAAGCGGGGGTCTGGGGCTGTCCTCTGACTGGGTCCATGTGTTGTATGGTGTTGGCACTGATGTCATACAGGAGGGGGACGATGATAGACTGGGGCTCCTGGCCGGATGGAGGCTGGATACGTGTGAACTGTATCTGAAAGTATAGCAGTAACAACTCTATTTTACATGTTGTTTAAATGTTTGAGGTCAATCCTGATAGTGAAATTCATTTATCGTGATAATTCAGAGTAATACCCCAAGCCACATCACATCATTTCATGTTTCAAAATGTACATTGTATGTTTGAAAAATGTGATATACGTGTATTAGACAAATGAGGACTTTTGCTTCTACTATATACTACTTCACTATATCTCAACACATTCACATCAATTCCTTCAAGTTTGACATAGTACAATGATATTAAACAGAATACCTAATCCTGATCAGTTTATAAAATGAGAGATTTATGAAGGTACATGCAAGTCAAACAATGTCTTGTCAGACTATGTTACTTTACTTTTTTCAACAAATAAAAGACAAACTAAATTTTGCCATATGAACACTTACCATGAGTAACATCTTGATCTGTTTGTTCTTTGCGACTGCAGCGGTCCCTGCCGGAGCCACAAAGGCCGCCTGTGGTGGTACAGTTAAACACCACTGCATGGACCACTTCATACCACTGGCCTGGTTAGGACCCATCTACAACAGCAAAAATAAAGTACAAACCTTTTCTTTCACGACTGGAATTTTGATGATACATTATATATTCCTGCAATACACAGTAAATGATCTTGATATTGGGCTTGTGAAACCAAGTCAGCTTTTTTTTCAACTCAGACTTGCTTTTCATACACTTAATAGAGATACAATACTTAATTATTTTTTTTGTTGAAAGACCTAACTCTACACACACACAGAGTTCATAAAGTAAGTGTCTAGAAAACACATCTTATGATATAAACCCTTAATGACTGGTAGTAATAAGATATAGAACTTTATAGTATACCAATTCTAATCTCATGAGCTGAACACAGTCCTTGAGGATTCTGATCGGGGTCTCTAGTATTCTACAGAATGCTCTCAGGGCGTTCACTTTGTAGGGTGGACAGGCAACCTAGGAGGAAACAAACCCAGTAAATAAAGATTTATAGCTCAATGAAATTACCAGAAAATCAGGAGAAAATCTCATATTATAATTTTGGTAGCTTTCACTGCAAGTTTCTTATTAGAATTATGTTCATCAAATACATTTATTTTTAATATGTTTTTGTGAACAGTGACAATTCATCGAGGGACTTGAGACTATTGAGTGAATCAGGATATGCCACAATAAGTTTTTGACTGACAAATTGATATGATGTATTTACTTTGGAATCAAAGTACTGCTGTATGATGTTTAGGACCTCCATACTCCATTGATCTCTGTGTTCTGTAAAATAGAAATAAAGGTCAGTTGTGAGAAATAACGTAGTATATTGCAGTGTAAAAATTACAAATAAACATGTGTTATAAAACAGGACTCTTCAGCACTTTAATCAGCTCTAAGACATCTATATTACAAGAGACCCATGGGCCTTACTCAGGATATGAATAACTCAGCTATACCTGGAAACTCTGGACTCAAGTAACATGAATGACAATATCAGATTCATTACTTGGTAATCATATTCTTAGACCTTGTTCCTAAAAGCAATTTTGGAATAAGGCTATCTGCTCATTATCATAAAATCATGAAACAGGCCTTCAGGATGTCCAGTAGTATAGATGGTTTTAGAAGATCTATAACCATCCGTCACCTGAGAAACCCAAATGACCTATAAAGAGTGAAAAATTGAAATATTCAGAACTGTTGTTTTCTTTGTTTACCTGGTACTGACTGGACATTCATGTGTAGACTCTGTAGGTTGTTACTAAAGCTGACATGGAACTGTAAAGTCTCTACTTTAAATGAGATGATGTTAGGATCAGTGGAGCGCATCGGGGTCAGCTGCAAAAAAATCATCATACAGAATTACTAAAACTGTTACAGCAAACAAACATATTGGGATGGAAAAAATAACCTGCTTGGAGCTGAGGACATGGTATTCTTATCATACAAAAAGTTTTAACATACTAAACTGTGTAAAAGTAATGTCCAGTATTATCAGTATTTATAGAATGACCAACCTAGTTATACAGTCCCTGAAACGTTCTACTTTCCCACTTGAACGGTGAGCGAACGCTGAACGAACGGTGAACGAACGGTGAACGAACGCAGAGCGAACAGTGAGTGAACGATGTGTGAACGCAACTTGGTGAACGATGTGTGAACGGTGAGCGAACGCAGAACACGAACGGAGCGCAAACGCAAACGCAAAGTGAACGGTGAACGAACGGTGAACGCAAGATGAACGATATATTCGGAATGCCTCTGATCTTTTCCTTGCATTGAAACTATTTTATTGTATTATAATGTTTAGGTGCCAAAAATAAATAAATAAATAAATATATAAATAATAAATAAGTAAACCAATAAATGAATGAATAAATAAGTCAATAAAATAAATTCTCCAAAATTGTCCTAAGAAAGACGACGCATGCACATTAAGTTTTTAATCACACGATTTTTATCGCATTAAAACATTGTAATTGTTGCCGAACGCTGAAGTATAAAAGATGGTTTTTTTTTAGTTGGAAAATAAAAATGTTTATTCTTATTTGATAACAAATCAGAGAAAACTTCTGACTTACAGAATGAATTAAAGCGGTTGTAATATCCACTCATATATCTCCGTGTCAAGGCGATTTCGTGTAAAGTAATGAAAAAAAGATTAATTACAAAAGTCAGTGGACGTTTTGCATTTATACACTCGTATTTTAAATGTTTAATACAATAATATATTGTGTCATTTCTATTTTTCATGATGATTTATTGAGCAGACTTCTACATGTATCTGTAGATGGCCGTGATTATACTCGGACAAGATAATACAAAGATGCATATTCATATTATTTGTTATAAATTCAATTTTCAGAACTTGATATTTAAGTAATATGCTGTTATAGTGTTTATTAAACAGACAAATGAGAGAGAGAGAGAGAGATTCAGTTTTAGCCCCCCCCCCCCTCCTTTCAGGCTTCACTAAATGTTTGTACCTATATCAAACAAAAACTCTGAATTTTTTTTCTAAATATATCAGACAGTGAAGGTAACTTTTTTTAAATCAACAAATCATATCCATTTGTTTAACAGTCAGACTCGTTTTTATTTTCCTGCTTCAAGTTCACACGAAGTCCACGTGCTTGTGCAGTCAATCAAAATCATTCGACTCTGTGCAGGTGTGAAAGTTTCGTCACATCGAAGGCGAAGTGCGAGTATTTCCAACAAGTTATAACATTTATTTTTATCATTTCTAGACTTGATTCCAACATATAAATAATAAATGAATAAAATACATTGGGCATTAACACTTGAATTTGAAACATACTCTCTGCCAGTTTCAAATACCACCGCCGACACGTGTACATTTTGAACTACTATTGTTTTGTGACTTGTTTTGATGCATGTTTGTTTTGAGACTGAAATTTTTGTTCTAAAAAAGACCTTAACTTTTTTTAAAAATGTTAATTAAAATATTCTGGAAATACAGTACTGTCTAAGTAACCGATTTAGGGGGAAAAGGGGGGGGGGGGGGGTATTAATCATATCGAATGGCAAACATATAAAGTAACGGTGAAGAAAGAATTTTTTTCTCTATAACTATAAACTTAACATATTATAGTAGAGAAAATTCTGTAATGCATTACATTTTAAATAAATATTTCCTTTAACCACACTATCAATTTCATTCGCTCCAAAGATAATAAATTAACAGGATATCCGCAGTACTATGTATAACTCTCAGAACTAGTTCTATCATTTTTTTCTATAGTAATTGAAAAAAAATGTGTTAGAAATAAATATTTTTGTTATTTTGCTGCGTAATTATTTTACTTGGATAATTATATCACAAACACTTAATTTAAATTAAAACAACAAATTGTTGCAGTGCTTGAAGTATTTGCACATCGCCCTTAGTTAAATTTAATATTTCAGCATCGGTCTACATAGGTACAGAATGTGCTTATAACAACATTTATTTTCCAGAGTAATTTTATAAATAACCTAACAGCTAAGTTAGAATAATACATATATATATCGTAGATATTTTTCCCCCATGAAATAATGATTCTTCAAACACGATATGTTAGTTATTAAATTAAAAAAAACCTGTAACTCCTTACCTACAAAAAGATAAGTCCTTTCACTTCGGAGTTCCGAATGACAATCAAAACTGAACGATAGGTGAACGCTGAACGCAAGGTGAACGCAAAGTGAACGGAACGAAGAGCGAACGCTGAACGCTTTGTGAACGGTGAACGCGAGCGCACGGTGAACGCAAAACTGTGAACGGAGAGCGAATGGTTAAAGCATGGTGAACGAACGGTGAACGCACGCTGAACGAACGGTGAATGAACGGTGAGCGAACGGAAAAATGGGAAAGTAGAACGTTTCAGGGACTGTACCACAGGACTGACACAGACTGAATGTGTCCGTATTTCAGCTGACTTACAGATTCAGACTGAATCAGTCTTGGTAGATTCCTCCTTAAGTACACACTCCCCAGGAACCTCTCCAGTGGAGACGAGGAAATGGTGTACGGGAGGGATTGAGATCGATTAGGGGTCAGTAGTGTGTCAAAGGCATCATGGGATAGCAGGGTAGGGATTGATGCAGCCCAGGCTCGCTGTGGAAGCATTCTAGTGGTGTGACTCAGCACTGAAAATGAAAAGTTAAATGGTAAAGATATAATGATACTTATTTGCAATCATAATAATAAAATAATAATAAAATCAAACTGAGAATTGATCTCAAAAGAAATTACAATAATGCAATTGCATTTACATAAACAATGCACTGAAGGATAAATGAAACCAGATTTATGGAAGAAAGTCTGCAAGTAGGTGTTTTATACATGCAATTATTTCCCTTCAGAACTAGTAAGAAATTAATAACCAATGTTTGTTACCATGTTCACAAGACTTTTAAAGCTATACACAAGAAACAGAGAGACCAGGTTGATTAGTGAGACAGAATGCTTCCAGTTTGATGTTTTGACAAGATAACACTTTAACCAAGCCAGCCTCAGAAGTAAAAGATTAATGCAGCTTTAAAACTTGTTCTCACAGAATGCAGCATTTGAGAGTTTTACAAACTTACAAGAATTTATCTCATCCCTAAAATTCCCTAAATGTTTAGGGAGAAGCTCTGAAAAATGTTCCATAAAACAATTAAATTCTTATGTTTACTCAATGTGTTAAGTGCTTCTATTTTACATGTTTTTTTTTTTAAATTTCCATGATTAACAATTACAAATTATTACAAACATTCTTTTCAACTGATAATATTTCTTCAAAACAAAGAAAAAAATTAATGCATTTAGGACCACTTTCCCTCTGTACTCTTCAAACCTGATAAACTGAAACCCATATTCTTCCAAAGACCTGTAGATTTTCTCTGATCTTTGACATCTTTCCTGTGGATTTCACCTTTGATACTATGTTGTACATTTCTTGCGACCTGTGACATCTTATATGTAGATTTCCTGTGACAACTTACCTGTAAATTTGAATTAAAGTCTTACCTGTAGATTTACTGTGATCCCCATCCTTGACCTGTGTCTGGGGGGAGTGTAGTGCAGGATTACCCGGGGAGTGTGCCGTGTGTCTGGATGCTGGGGAGGGGCCGGACACTGAGGGGGAGTTAGGCCAGTTCCTCTGTACAGGGGAAGGCATGGCAAGACTAGCACTGGTGAACGGGGATCCTACATCTAGACCTGATACAGATAATCACATTCTTTACTTCAATAAATTTTATCTACCCCTCTAAGAATATACATTAAGATTTTACTTCATATTCTTGCAAAAATTTATTGGTAAAAATAGAGATTATTAGGAGTACATAAAAGAAATACATGTAATAAACATTTAAGTATAATATCATTTATTCTTTACCTTGTGGTCCCATGAATCCCGAGGCTGGGCTCTGCATGTGTATCCCCAGGGATTGTGGGGAGGGAGCAGGGACAAATGCACTAGATCCTGGGGACGGAACATGGAGCTGGGGGTTCCCAGGAGATCCCACATTGAGCAGGGTACCTGGGGAGGGTGTGCCAATGAGAGCTGTGGAGGGGGAGGGGGTCACCTGTAACATATACATACAGTCCTTTAAATCAAGGGAAAATTTGTTCAGTTATATATATTGAACTTGGAAATCAACAATTTTCAAGCATTTAAAAAAGGTTAATTACTGTAAAAATTGATAATGCTTTCATTTTTTCCCATAAAAACAATATATGAGAAGTCAAATAAATACAGTATAAGAGAGGTCTTAGGTTAAAATCAGAGCACTTACCCCCGAGATCCTGGCAGCACTGGGTGAAGCTGGGGTGTGGGGATTTGAGGGTGGGGTCATAGGAAATCTGAGGCCTGTCTCCCTCTGTCTGGAGGCGGGGGAGCCTGTGGAGGGGGGCTGGGTGGAGAGACTGAAGATGTCTATAGAATCCATGGGGGACGGGGGATTGTCATCCTCTGTGGTAGACATCCTGTGTGTGTGTCTGCCTGTTATGGCATCGTCCACGTACTTGTTCAGAAAATGCTGACAAATAAAACAAATTTGTATAAGTAAAGTGTGTTCTAACTGATTTATAACATAATTACAAACTATGTTTATATTTTAACTTAGAATGAAAAATTGCACTTGTTCAGAAAATGCTGAAAAATACAAAAAAGTTGTATAATTATCCAAGTGTGTTGTAACAGGTTTAGAACTTTACAGACTTATGACTCTTTGTTAACTTAAAATGAAAACTGTAAAATTAATATTCTTTTTGTTTTCATCCCATGTAATACAATTCATGAAGAAATAAGAATTTTGTTACCTTGCAGTCTAAGCAAATAAGCAGACCTTCAAGACAGCATTTTTTACATTCTTCACATTGCAGACAAGCACTTAATCAATCTAGATGATTCTTAATCATACAATTTTAAATATACACTGTACATGTGTAACTGACCTTGAACAAAGATGACTGACCTTGAACATAGACGTGGGACTGAATCCATCCACTGCCTTGCTGTTGTCAAACAAACTGTACGCTCCGTCTCTAACAGAAACAATCTTGTTACTACGGAAATGGACATCAATACAAGATCTGATAGGTGTTAAAGAAATGTCAACAAAAGAACAATCATTCTTTCATGAACATTAAAAATAATGCAACAAAACATACATATACTAGAACAGCAAACTAAATTTATTTTAATATACATGTATCTAAGATAACTGCACAGACTTCACATTAGATCTACATGGTATTGAAACACTGTAGTTCACTGCCTGGGTTGAAATGACAATGTAATATTCTTCACATGTATATATATATATAAAGATACATATTCCTAAATGCTATTCGTACATGGGTGGTAGACTGAGGAATCAATGTAAAACTTTGCATTGGCTGCTTCACATTCTGTAAAATAAAAACAAAAGTCTGCATGTTTGAGAGATTCTTTTGCATCAATTTACAGGCATAATAATATCTGAAGCTTAGTGATTAAAGCTCAAAGAAATGATAATACTGGAAAACTTTGATAAAGTTAGAGACTCAATGATATTTGAACTACGTCAACTACATGTACAAACAACAGTGCTCCATAACTTACTGTAGCGGCAGCCTGTACTAAGGACATACTCAGCTTGTTGATGGAGGTCATTGGTGCCCAAGTCTCATGGAGAACCTACAGGTACAGGTATATAGAAATAAATCATGTTAGTCTCTACTTTGACATCAGTGACTGGGAAGAAGTGGGTTGGGCAGTAACAGAGGAGTATTATTTGACATGTTGTGTAATGTGATGGGGGGGGGGGGGGGGTTCTAACAAATAATGTGAGTGGGAGGGTTGAGAGTCTTAAATCAGAAATCCCTACATATGAACACGTGTGTTAGCGTTCCCTCCCCTAGTGCTGTGTGCATGTTCTAGATGATATCAGTCAATGTGATATGAGTCTGAGTTGAAAAGTAAGATTGATCTCATATGACAAATTTTGAGCCAGTGAAGAAGTGAGATTTTCCTCTCTCAGTAGTAAGTGCGAGTCTGGATGATGTGGAGACTGTGTGTGCATGAGAAAAGATGAGGGGGGAAGGGGGGGGGGGCTGGTCAATGAGCAAGTGTGGTGGAGTTCCCTTTGAAATTGAGACAGAAGTATTGTGTGTATGGGCTGGGGGGGGAGGAGGAATAATGTGTGTTTGTTCAGGGGAGTGGGTGTCTTACCTGACAAATCTGGGCCAGCGAGCGAGTGTGGTTGAGTTCCCTCTGGAACTGAGACAGAAGAATAGTGTGTGGATTGACTGTTGTAGAACTACCCACAGTCCCCAGTGTCACATTAAACTGTTTGGCATCACCCTTCCATTGTATATTTATCTAGAAATTCAAATTGTAAACAATAAACATAAATACATAATCACAATCCAGCTGATAATGAAAATCTTGTTGAAAGCTTTTTTTTATATGTACAATTCACTTATAAAGATGATATATACAGAAATTTTTTTCCGAATATCAAGCATGTTTGTATATAGAGTTTCAGCATTTTCATATCCTTACAAGTCAAGGTTTACATTACAAGTTAAGTTTTACTGTAAGATTTTTTACCACACTAGTTCTGTTAGGTCCATATAACATTGACAGTTTACGATAATCATAGGAATATATGTCTACTGTTGATCCAAGCTCTGTCCTCACATCTGAAATGAAGTATGAAATGTAATATAACTGTAAAAATGATAAATAATGTACACTTAATACGAAGGGGAAAACACATTTCATCATTAATGCTGATACTTCAAAAATCTCATCTCAATTGCAAAATCACTGATGCAAGTAGTTTTAAAAACTTATTCGGTGAGGATAAATACATACACCTATGTACATTTCCATGAGGACACTTACCTGTGTACATTTCTGCAAATTCATGTACAATGCTGTACAGGTGGCAGATTCCTGCCCATTCATCCAGAATGTCCTTGACCACTTTCTTAAGGTTATCTATATTTAGCTCCATCATGATGTGAACTCTTTGTACAGGACCTGCCAAAGTAATTTAATATTCATAATCTTCATGTATTTTCTTGACTTTCTTCTAGCGCAAAATACTTTTGATTTGTATAAATTCACTATAAAATAGATACCTTGTTCCTTTCTGTTTGAACTTTCCAATGGTGGCTTTGAGATCAGAAACTGAAGAAGAATGGTCATACAATAAATACAGTACTGTATAATTAATTTTAGCATATAATGTGATTCTTTGATTCTTCAACTCCTTTTTTTGTTAGCTTTTCAATTTATGATGATTGATTCTTTTTTCCTGTTTAAGTTATTAAATTTTCATTTATCTGTCAGTGACTAAATTATGATTTACTATTTTACTTCCACATACATCTCCACATCTCATTCATTTGGCTGCTTTTCCCATATAATCCTGTTTCTCATTGGTTAACTTTGCCTAGTACACCATCTTCTTTTCTCATTGGTTAATTTTCCCTTACCTCTACAATCCAGTTTCTCATTGGTTTACTTAGGATCCTGACTTTGATTGACAGCAGCACTTTCTTGACCATATCACACATTCCCTCTCCCAAACCTTCCACATCAGGCATGCTGAAAAGTTCACAGAAGTTCCAATAGTATGTGATCTATCAGAGAGCTATTAGTGCACAAAAAACAATAGATGTTGACACTTGGCCATGTAATACTACATACATGTATATTATACAGTGAGTGTACCTGAGTAGAGAAAGACAGAAGCAGGTTCCCTCACAATCTGCCTGAACACCTGTGTGAACCACACCATTCTTCTCAAACTGAAAAAAAAAACATAAAAAAATACAGTTAGTAATAGTTTCACGAGGCCTGTTCAAAGCTGTTTCATAACATTTTTATAATGTATTTTTTTTTTTTTGCATCCGTGTCCTAAAACTATCTTACCTGTAGGCCTACAAGTTCATGTACATGTATGTTGATAGAATCTTGCTTTTAACCCTATGCTACAGTCTAGAAGGATCCTACCTCCAGTTCTGAATATACAAGGTTCTTACCTCTAATCTCATACTGACCGATAGGATATTTATTTAGTCTTGATTTGACCTGAATGATCTCACATCTAATCCTACACTGACCAGTAGGCTAAGTTGACTAGTAGGATCTTACCTCTAGTTCTAAGTTGACTAGACAGATCTCACTTAAATTGACCAGTAGGATCTTAAGTTGACTAGTAGGATCCTACCTTTACTCTTAGGTTGAGTAATGGGTTTAACCTCTAGTCCTAAGTTGCCTAATGAGATCTTACCTCTAGTACGACCTAGGTTGTCTAATGGGATCTTACCTCTAGTACGACCTAGGTTGTCTAATGGGATCTTACCTCTAGTACGACCTAGGTTGTCTAATGGGATCTTACCTCTAGTACGACCTAGGTTGTCTAATGAGATCTTACCTCTAGTACGACCTAGGTTGTCTAATGGGATCTTACCTCTAGTACGACCTAGGTTGTCTAATGGGATCTTACCTCTAGTACGACCTAGGTTGTCTAATGGGATCTTACCTCTAGTACGACCTAGGTTGTCTAATGAGATCTTACCTCTAGTACGACCTAGGTTGTCTAATGGGATCTTACCTCTAGTCCTAGATTGACTAGTGGGATCTTACCCCTAATCGTAAGTTGACTAGTGGGATCTTACCTCTAGTCCTAGATTGACTAGTGGGATTCTCTCCTCACAGCTGGCTAAGATGTAGGCTAGTTCAGGACTAAAGTATGGATGTCCTTTGGTCTTCTTAACAGGGGGCTCTCTTAATTCTCCCAGCATTATCTAAAATGTTGTTTGTTGGATCTCACTATCAATATTCTCACCAAAATTTTACTTGCAAGTAAAAAAATATTCATTATATATAAAGGCCGCCCCACTCCAAATAAATGTTACTTGTCTGTTTTCAAAGAAATGCTCCACTCTACCAAATGCATATAGATATTTGACAGAATACATCAGTTCATATTCATTCTAATTCAGATACATGATTGTGATGTCACACTTAGGCATGACACAATTTATGACATGCATTTAATATATTTATAATATCCAACCTTCCTCTTTCTTCTCTTGCTCTCAATATTACTTTGTTCTTGTTCATCTGCAAAACAAATACACTTGTACATGTATGTACAATTATGTAGTATTTTACCAACAACTGCTAGAATTTTCTAACATATGAATTTTAATTGCACCAGCTTTGAAAGCAGTTTACATTAAATCAAAATCTACTTAATCTGCTTTTTACTTTTACTTTAACATTGATTTCATATCAACTTCTGAGTGGACAAAAAAATAACAACAATTTCCATCCATCTTAAATTTTAACAAGAACCTTGTAAATGATATACTTTACACACCGTAAATTTTGGTGAATGGACCGTGGATGAAGGAGTACACATCCAGTGGTATGAGTCTCCCGGCCTTCAGATAAAGTTTGGAGCAGGGATCATCACTGATGTCTATCTCGGAGCCGTCCGCAGTGCACTGTGTGGTGTCCAGGAGGTAATATTTATAGTTCACTGTGGTGTCCCCTTCTAGCAGCTCAACCACCTGAAATTTTCAACTGGTCCTAAAAATCTTTTTGGTATAAAAGCAGTAAGTCAGAATTCTTTTTTTTTCCCCTTGGAATTTTTTTTTTTAAAAAAGACATACATGTCAGTGGTTTCCAATAATTATTCCCCTTGAATCATACTTTTTCTGGAGAAAAAGTTTAATGAGAAAGACCACAATTAAAGATTATGAAAGTAATGGTCAGGAAAGCATTTTTTAATTCCATCAAATCCTTTAATAGTACTGTCTTACAAGATAAAATGTTGACTGCTTTGGAACTCTGATATATAGGCGGGACTTGCTGATCTTTTCCAGCGGGTGATTGGTCAGATTGATGAATGACAGGTGCTTTTGACAGGTGGTGGGCAGGTACTGGGCAGACTTCTCACATCTCATCACACACAAACGTAATCTATAAGATCATTAATAATTAAAATTAATAAAGAATCAAGTATTTAATCAAGAACTGAGCAGTTTACTACAATAAATACTTCTGACGAGGTTTATAATTTTCCTTTTTAAGGATTTTTTTTGAAGAATAGAATTATGTTAATTTACATAAACTCAGATCAAGTCCATCAATTGACATTATTCTTTCACTACGGCAAAGCTCCAAGTAATATCTCCATTCATTAAGCACCATTGTAATTCCCTGCTACGTAACATAGTGTCCAGACTTTTTTTTATCTCCATCATTAATAATAAACATACCTGATAATCTAATGAGTCTTACTTAAGTTAATGTCTTAGTTACAAATCCATGTACATGTAGTTAATAAACCTGAGAGTGAAATTTTCTGTTCACTAGCTACCATATTTTTTTTTTACCTGAGATTCCTAATGAGTCTGTCCAAACCTTTTCTGTCTCCATTTAAAGCTTCTTCTAAATCCTCCACCTCTTGTACATCTATCAAATACATGAATAATAAAAAAAAAATCATTTTTAACTTCAAATAACCTTTTAAACTATTAAAGTATTGTCACTGTTTAATAGTTGTACATATTTGAATGACTTTGCTTAAGTTTTAGTCCAAAAGTAGATTATATCTATATCCAGAGAATGATGTTCTGTGCAATTATCCGACCAACTGAAAAAGTGTCCGATTCAAATCTTCACCAATTGCCAGAGAATGGCACGTTGCTGTTTTAAATACTAATAGTGTAGAATCAGAGTCGTTTAGCTGCAGTTTTGCCAGCTTTATGGCTGTAAATACTATTTATGTAGAATTGGTGAACTTTAAATGCCGGTAAAGCTGTGGGTATAGATGCCAGTTTACTATTGTTAATAGTATATCATGACTGACCTTTAGCGGCGGGTATAGATGCCAGCAGGTTCCCCCTCTGACAGTCTACCATCACCCTCAGCTTCTCGGACTCCATGGAGGGCTCTAACAGGGGGACATGTAGGGCACTAGGCAGGTCCCGAATCTCACCTATAAAAGGCACAGGCATTTTCAAAAGCTTTGTATTACTATATGTAGTTGGTTAAATCACCTCCAAGTCAAAAGAAGCACTAATTGTGGTGAAATAAACTATTTTTCTGTTCTGTGTATTTTGTTGTACTCACAAGCTCCCTCTGTGAACCTCTGTAGATCCTTAGCAAGGTCCTATAATGAAAATCAGGTATCAGAAAATGATGCAGTAAACAATGTAAATGTATTGTTTTAAGCTGCTATAATTTTACATCATTTATTTGTCAAAGAATCAGTTTTTTGTGTTGATTTCAATGTGGTGAAACTACAGTCAAATCTCCTCATCTCAAACTAGATGGGGCCAAGAAAAAACTTCTTCAATATTAGTGGATATGAGATATTGAGGCTAAAATACATGAAGAAAAAGATCTTGGGACTTCCAACTTACTTCTAAATAGTAGACATGTTATTCGAGACATCTATTGAGATTTCAATGCTCCAAATTCTGGAGTTGAACTTAATGTTTAAAGTCTTACCTTTAACTTGGCCAGTCCCCTGACCTCTATGGTCTGTATCAGGAGTCTCTCTGTACACAGGTGGTAATTCTTACCTTTAACTTGGCTAGTCCCCTGACCTCTATGGTCTGTATCAGGAGTCTCTCTTTACACAGGTGGTAATTCTTACCTTTAACTTGGCTAGTCCCCTGACCTCTATGGTCTGTATCAGGAGCCTCTCCATAGATAGGTGGTTACTCTTTATGGCCAGTCCCACCCTGCTGCTTTCCTCCACAGACATTGAGGGGAAGTGACTGATCTGTAGGGGTTTCCCATCGTCATCCTCCGCCACATGTACACTCAAACGGAACACTGCAATGTGAAAAATGATAAACTGTAATAAAACTAATGTGCAATACATGCAAGCATCAAGTAGATTGACTGCTTCAATAATCCTGTCACTGATTGTCTAACATATCTCAGTGTTTTAGTTAAGTGTTAGTATCTTTTGGGACATATCTGCATCATTTTTTTTTTATTTTCTGTTTTCAAGATTTGAAGTGCTGAACTTGTCCTACAAATTTGAAAAGGTTTGTCTCACTTGAAGGAAAAGTCATATAGGGTTGTAGTTAATACAGCAGTGTGGTTGCTATGGAAACATAAACAATTAACTTACACAAAGCTTCCTGGGATTTCTCTCTTCTGGTTGGATCCCTGGAAAGAAAATTAACAAACTGTTAAACAATGCACAACCCCTATACTGCTTAACTTTTCTGTAGTCTGTGTGTGTAGTAATCAGCACTCTCTCCATGTTGCCCATTTAAATAAACAAGAGATGTCTGTGAAACACTTATGCACCCCCCCCCCCCATAATTGGAATTTTTCGAAGTCCAAGGGGCATAACTCTGTCAAAAATTGCTCAATGGTACTCAAAACAGAAGCTGTCCTAGATATTCTTATGATAAATCTGTATACCAAATTTCATTTCAGTATGTGCAACCTCTGCGAAGAATATGAATGGAAATTGTTGGTGAACTGACAGAGACAGACAGACTGACCAACAGACAGCAGCAAAGCAATATACCCTCCCTTCTTCGAAGGGGGGCATAATTAAATGATCCAGAAACTAACTGTGTTTTTTCATGTATACAAAATCTACCGTATTTTGAAATGTATAACTACCTGAGACATAGTAATGATAAACATCGGGGAGAAATTCTTGCCAGTTGCTAACAATTAAGTAACAAATTCAAATCATTTTATGCAATTCAAATTCATCAATCATCATTTGAAGTAACTTGCATGAATAATGATTCCTTGGGGTTAAATTATTAAAAGTAAGTCAGGATAATAGTATATCCGGATTTCATATTGAGTATGTAGACAGTAATTTCTAATGAGGTACTTGAAATCTGATGCTATTTGTGTTAAGTGCAGCAGATCAAAACGTCTGCCTTGATTGTTAATTTTCACATAAAAACATACGTACACGCAATTACGTGTACCAATAAACCTGTCATTCTATAGACATACATTTAAATGAAACTTTTGAAGCCCCCTCCCACCCCACACCTCCATTGAAATATATTATCAAATAAATTGAGCCCTTTAAAATTATTCCGGAACCCACAAGTATTTTACTTAGTAAACACTCCTTCAAACTTTAAGCAGGAAGAAAAACAACTCAGAAAAAAGACTATTATGGTAGGATACATGCAGATAAATGGATGATAAGTGTTTACAAAAGACATTAAATGACAAACTCTTAAGTAGCAAGCAACCATCATGATTTAGTCTTGTGAACATGGTGAGTGTAAGTTATGTTGAGTCCAAACAAGCTCAAGTTTTTGTACATTTTTTTCTGTCTTTTAACATCACAATTACCTAATTTTATTTTAATTTCTGTTCAGAAAAACTGACATTTACACATTCATTAGGCTGGCCAAGTTGGTGTCTTTCTTTCTTTGTTTATTCTCTGACCTTGGTTTTCAAGAGTCATGTAATTTGACCAGTGATATATCTATTGAAACTTTATGGAAGCTAATAATCAATGTTTTTTTTGTGTTTTTTTTTTTACAGATTATTACAATCTTCCACTATGAGTGAAAATAAAGGCACAGGGCAGCATTACATAGAGTGTACCACATGTAGCAAAAATTCCAAGTTCTACTGTAATATATGTCACCAGGGAATTTGTGAGGAATGAAAAAATGTCCATCTGCACACAGAGGAAAACAGGGTACACGAAATAGTCCTTTATCAGGATAGGTTAAAAGAACTTCCACCAGAAAAATGTTGGATCCACCCTACCAGAGTTTTAGAACTGTATTGCAAGGATTGCTACATCCCAGTTTGTTCAAAATGCTTTACCACCAATCACAATGGTCATCGAGTCCTTGACCTTGAGGTGGTCTACAATGAAAGCTTAAAACAATGCCGGGAAAACCTGGTCAAAATCCGTGACACCATTCTTCCTCAATGCATAGAAAAACTGAAGATGCAGAAAGAAATGGTAGAAGATGTGAAGAAAGAAATAGCTCAAACAAGATTATTCATGAAGAACAGTTCAGATGAACTCAAGGCAGTAGTGGATGCTGTACTGACCGATAATGATAAAAAGCTGGTCACTACAGAGAAATTAATACTGGAGGAACTGGCCGACCAAGAGAAGCAGTCAGAAGATTACATCTCCTACATACAGAGAATTCTACAGAGCTACAACAGCGGTATGTCATCCAATAAACCAACAGAGATTATAACATTCAGTAGAGAGATGGCGAGTAGTCCTGTGATGAAGGCTCCTGAACTGAGTGAGCCTGACTTACCAGAGTTTAAAAAGGGTTCAGTCATAAAGGGAGAGACAGAAAATCAGTTTGGTGTACTCTTCCAGAATAAACATGAAATTCAACATACCCAACCACCTTCAAACATGCTGCAAACCCCATCTCCATCAAACCCCAAAAGAGGAACATCAACTTTGGAGTTTCTTTCCTCCATCACAAAAGTAAAGGACATTAACATCTCTAGTCTTCATGCTGTTTATCACTTGTCTCCCTTACCGTCCGGGAAGTTCTGGGCCAGTGATTACAAAGGAAACCTCCTTCAATGTGACATGGAGGGGAACACCTTGCAGAAAATATCCACCAATAGAAATTTTACAGGTTACCACACAGTATCTACAGAGGATGAACTGCTTTACACAGATATAGAAGAGGCAGCCGTTTTCAGAGTGTCCAGTGATATGAACACCACAAAACTGATCACCACAGAAGACTGGGAACCACGCTCCATCTATTCTTCTAAAATCAATGGACACATTCTGGTGGGGATGAAGAAAGATAAAGAATGGGGGGAGACGTGGAAAGTTAGGCGATACACCAAGGAAGGAGAGAGCCTCCTGGACATTCATCAGGACGAGAATGGAAAGAATCTATACAGGAGTACAGACTACATCACAGAGAACATTAATGGTGATATCTGTACGTCAGACTGTAATGCCAAAAGGCTGGTGGTGGTAACCAGGTCAGGGGTGTATCGCTTTACCTACTCAGGTCACCCATCTGGGTCTAAATTCTTGCCCTATGGAATCTGTACAGATGTTCTGGGACACATCTTGGTCTGTAGTTCTTACAACTATCCGTATGAGGAGGAGAACCACCAGGACTTCTTTAGTGTCCACCTTCTGGACCAGAATGGTCAGTTCCTGTGTTTCCTACTGAATCAATGTCCACATCCTCCCCATGCTCTACTGGTTGATGATCAACACCAACTTTTGATCGGGAGTGAGGACAGTTCTACTGTTACTGTGTACAAGTATCTCAATGTCAAAGGCACATCATGAAAACCATTCATTAGACAAGTTTAGTACTCTTTGTTTCTCTCTACATTGTTTATTTACACAGTGTGTAACTTACAAGTGTCTGAGGCATACTTGTTTCCATGGATAGTCTTATTAAATAAATGCAGAAAAAGAATTTCAAAATTTCAAAAAATGGGAACAGAATATTTTTTCCCGTGAAAATTCTAAGTTTAAGATTATTGTCACAAATTTAGCAAGAACAGCAGTTTACAAAAAGTTTTCTGTTGGGAAATAAACATCTCTATTATCTGATGTTTGAAGAAAATGGGACAAAACTGATGTTGAAAAAGACTGTTTAATGTGAACACAAAGACCACAAATCAACAACCTGGTAAATTGCAAAAGGCTTTGCATGGGCAAATATTAAACCCAAATCAAAAACCGAGAATGTGCCCGATAAAGAGCATTCAGGCCTCACAAGACTTAAGTTTACATATTAAGGACATTGGCAAGGTTCCTGGTTATTGTATAGATTTTTTCAAGAACTTTAGAGTAGGTTTAAATGTACTAAACAGGCTATATTCTGGATCGTTTTACCTACCAATCCAACTTTCTTTTTTAGATTTTGTCAAATTAGTGTTTTTAGCTCACCTGAGCCGAAGGCTCAAGTGAGCTTTTCTGATCACATTTTGTCCGGCGTCCGTCTGTCTGTCCGTAAACTTTTCACATTTTTGACTTCTTCTCAAGAACCACTGGGCCAAATTCAACCAAACTTGCCACAAAGCATCCTTGGGTAAAGGGGATTCAAGTTTGTTCAAATGAAGGGCCACGCCCTCTTTCAAGGGGAGATAATTAGGAATTAGTGAAAAAATAATGGCATCCTTTTAAAAATCTTCTTCTCAAGAACCACTGGGCCAGGAAAGATGAAACTTATGTGGAAACATTCTCAGGTTGTGTAGATTCAAGTTTGTTCAAATCATGACCCCCGGGGGTCGGACGGGGCCACAATGGGCGATCAAAGTTTTACACAGAAATATATAGGAAAATATCTTTAAAAATCTTCTTCTTAAGAACAGTAAAGCCAAGATTGGTCATATTTATATGGAAGCATCCTAAGGTAGTGAAGATTCAAGTTTGTTCAAATCATAACCCCTGGAGGTAGGGTGGGGCCACAATGGGGGGTCAAAGTTTTACATAGAAATATATAGGAAAATATCTTTAAAAATCTTCCTCTTAAGAACAGCAAAGCCATGATTGGTCATATTTATATGGAAGCATCCTCAGGTAGTGTAGATTCAAGTTTGTTCAAATCATGGCCCCCGGGGGTAGGGTGGGGCCACAATGGGGGATCAAAGTTTTACATAGAAATATATAGGAAAATATCTCTAAAAATCTTCTTCTTAAGAACAGCAAAGCCATGATTGGTCATATTTAAATGGAAGCATCCTCAGGTAGTGAAGATTCAAATTTGTTCAAATCATGACCCCCGGGGTAGGGTGGGGCCACAATGGAGGATCAAAGTTTTACATAGAAATATATAGGAAAATATCTCTAAAAATCTTCTTAAAAACAGTAAAGCCATGATTGGTCATATTTATATGGAAGCATCCTCAGGTAGTGAAGATTCAAGTTTGTTCAAATCATGACCCCCAGGGGTAGGGTGGGGCCACAATGGGGGATCAAAGTTTTACATAGAAATATATAGGAAAATATCTTTAGAAATCTTCCTCTTAAGAACAGCAAAGCCATGATTGGTCATATTTATATGGAAGCATCTTTAGGTTGTGTAGATTCAAGTTTGTTCAAATCATGGCCCCCGGGGGTTGGGTGGGGCCACAATGGAGGGTCAAAGTTTTACATATAAATATATGTAGGAAAACTTATTTAAAAATTTTCTTCTTAAGAACAGTAAAGCCATGATTGGTCATATTTAAAAGGAAGCATCCTCAGGTAGTGTAGATTCAAGTTTGTTCAAATCATAACCCCTGGAGGTAGGGTGGGGCCACAATGGGGGATCAAAGTTTTACATAGAAATATATAGGAAAATTTATTTAAAAATTTTCTTCTTAAGAACAGCAAAGCCATGATTGGTCATATTTATATGGAAGCATCCTCAGGTAGTGTAGATTCAAGTTTGTTCAAATCATGACCCCCGGGGGTTGGGTGGGGCCACAATGGGGGATCAAAGTTTTACATAGAAATATATAGGAAAATATCTCTAACAAGAGGCCCATGGGCCTTGAATCGCTCTTCTGATAAACAGTACAACCTATCACTTCTATTTGAAGTATCCTGTATATTTACATAAACCCTTGAAATTCCAATTCACACTCTGAGAACCCAAGATGATTCTAAGCCAATTAGTACCTGAGAGTTGGTCATGATGACCTACTTATCACTTGTCATTCTCTGAGGACCCATGAACTAAGTTTGATGATTCTAAGCCAATTAATACCTAAGATATTTTTTAAAATTATAATCATAAAATTTTATAAGTAGGTCAAAGTGACCTACTTTTCAGTTGTTTTACTCCAAGGACCCAAGATGCATCAACTGACAAAGTTTGATGATTCTAAGCCAATAAGTACCCAAATATTTAATTAAAGCCATAAATTTTCAAAAGTAGGTCACCATGACCTACTTTTCAGTTGCTGTACTCCGAGGACCAAAGATACATCGACTGACAAAGTTTGATGATTCTAGCCAATAAGTACCCAAAATATTTAATTAAAGCCATAAATTTTCAAAAGTAGGTCACAGTGACCTACTTTTCAGTCAACCTACTCTGAGGACCAAAGATGCATCAACTGACAAATTTTGAAGATTCTAAGCCAAATAATTCCTGAAAATATTAAATACAGCCATAAAATTTCAAAAGTAGGTCACCGTGACCTACTTTTCAGTTGTTGTACTCCGAGGACCCAAGACGCATCAACTGACAAAGTTTAATGATTCTAAGCCAATTAGTACCCGAAATATTTGATTAAAGCCATAAATTTTCAAAAGTAGGTCACAGTGACCTACTTTTCAGTTGTTGTACTCCGAGGACCCATGACGTATAAACTGACAAAGTTTTATGAATTTAAGCCAATTAGTACCCGAAATATTTTATTAAAGCCTTAAATTTTCCGAAAGTAGGTCACGGTGACCTACTTTTTAGTCGACCTACTCCGAAGACCCATGACCCATCAACTGACAAACTTTGATGATTCTAAGCCAATTAGTACCTGAAATATTTAATTAAAGCCATAAATTTTCAAAAGTAGGTCACAGTGACCTACTTTTCAGTCAACCTACTCCGAGGACCAAAGATGCATCAACTGACAAAGTTTGATGATTCTAAGCCAATTAGTACCCGAAATATTTAATTAACGCCATAAATTTTCAAAAGTAGGTCACTGTGACCTACTTTTTAGTCGACCTACTCCGAAGACCCAAGATGCATCTACTGACAAAGTTTGATGATTCTAAGCCAATTAGTACCTGAAATATTTAATTATAGTCATATAAATTGAAAAGTAGGTCACGGTGACCTACTTTTAAGTTGACCTTTTTTGAGGACCCAAGATGCATCAACTTACAAAGTTTTATGATCATAGGACTTAAAATGTCCAAATTATGCCTCTAAAACGCTTTGAAATCAAATGCCTGCAAAGTTCAAAAAGTAGGTCACTGTGACCTACTTTTTAATAAATATGTTTTATGGCCCCAAGATGCATCATCTTACAAGATTTAATGATTCTAAGCCTCCCCGTATTCGAATTAATGACCTTAATTGTTTTTAAAAAGATTAGCCATAAAATTCAAAAAGTAGGTCAAGGTGACCTACTTTTTAGTTGACGTACTTTGAGGACCCAAGATGCATCAACTGACAAAGTTTGATGATCATAGGCCTTAAATTGTTCAAAATATGCCTCTAAATCATTTTGAAAAAGAATGGCTGCAAAATTTAAAAAATAGGTCACCGTGACCTACTTTTGAGTCAACATGATATGAGGTCCTTAGATGCACCAACTGACAAGATTTGATGATCCTAGTCCTTATAGTAAGCAAAATATCAACATTTTAATAAAATGTAATTTTTGGTCAACTTTGAAGTGACCTTGAGACCACGCCCTTTGCCCCAGGGTAAATCCCCGTGCAAATTTTAATCTACAACATATCCTCATCCTTTTGTGTAAGTTTGGTGATAATCTGCCCAGTGGTTCTTGAGAAGAAGATTTTTAAGCAACCAGTACTTTTGTTTCTATTTTCCTAATTATCTCCCCTTGTTAAAGGGTCACAACCCCAGTTTTAGTATAAAAGGGAGCCCTTGGGCCAAGGATACCCTGTGACAAATTTGACAATTATTGGCCAAGGGGTTCTTGAGTTATGGCCCTTATTCTAAAAAGTTTACGCACACCGCACAAATGGCCATAGCATTAGCTCTTTGAGCCTTTGGCTCAGAAGAGCTAAAAATCTTCTTCTTAAAAACAGTAAAGCCATGATTGGTCATATTCATATGGAAGCATCCTCAGGTAGTGATGATTCAAATTTGTTCAAATCATAACCCCCGGGGTAGGGTGGGGCCACAATTTGGGATCAAAGTTTACAGAGGAATATATAGGAAAAAGTCTTTTTCTCAAGAACAGAAAAGCCATGATTAGTCAAATTGATATGGAGCCATCTTTGGGTAGTGTAGAATTAAATTTGTTCAAATGAGGGCCCCCGGGGGTAGGGTGGGGCCACAATGGGGGATCAAATTTTTACAAATGAATATATAGGAAAAAATCTGCTGCTCAAGAACAGCAAAGCCATTTGTTATATTGATATGAAAGCATCATCAGGTAGTTTAAAATTCAACACCCTCCTCCCTGTAAACTTTTCAATACTGAACTGATTTTTGCTTTTTTTCCTAGCCAATGTGCTCAGGTGAGCGATGTGGCCCATGGGTCTCTTGTTACAATCCTATGTAAAATGTTGATAAAAGGGACCTACATAATTTTTCACCATAATATTTCTTCAAAACCAATTTATTTCATACAAGTTTTTGTATTATATACATTATTGTATCTTCATTTCCTATGACTTCTAGATATTTTGGCTGAAAATGTATATATAGAAACAAGACGTGGATATACCGGCACCGATCATCATTTTTGAGTTGCGTCCCTTAACAGCTAAAATTGGTCACGAGACTAGTTGATTATTTTTATCATGTAATTGACTGAATTGATTGAAACACATTGTCATAAAATATTGGCATGGATATATTTTTAACTTTTATTCATAGTTTCTAAATGCTGATTCCTTCACACGACCTAAGAACTGTTCTCAGTCGGCATGATCGACCTACCTAAGTACATGTACCTTTCAGCATATGTCACATCTTTGTCCTTCCCAGCATATTGAACATAACTATGGTAAATGACGACCTGTTGGCTCTGTGCCACTGAATACAATGTACAACAAAGCCATTACTACTTTTCTTTCATGTTGTATAGATGATTCTACTCGTTAAAGGAAGTACACGTGCTTTTGTTTACCTCTGTAACATACGCTTTATTGGTTTTCACCGCTTAGAGAATTCTACAAGGGAGATCACTTTCAATCACTATTTTATAAGTGAAAAAACCCATGTATTAAACCTTTTTTCTTCGGAAAACCCTGACTTGCCAATGTCCTTAAGCAAATTGACCTTTATAAGAGGTAATGCCTCACCTCCAGTACGACACAGACAAACATTTCCCAATGTCGTATTTCTCTACAAATATACTATCTCCCATCCGATCCTTGATCAATCTTTGTGTCTGAAAAAAATAAATCACATTTCTTTAAGAAACTGCACAAATTTAAAATCAAAATACAATTTACATTTCAAATTAAGAAGTTAATTAAAAGATGATGAATTAAGAATCTTAACTAATTTATCTCAAGCAAAATTCATCTTATTGATATTCTTTTTTTCTCTCCAAAATTGCACAGACAGATGGACAAAATAATTCCTACACTGTACGTATAAATGTACGGTATGTATATCAAGGGGTAATTTTTTTCTAAAGACATTTTATCTTATAAATTATAATGAGAACTTTTACCTGAGAATGCAGAACCTCTAATTGTAAGGACAGACAGAAGGTATCTATAGAAGTTAAGAATCAACAATAAAATTACAAACAATCCTCATTTGTAATTATAACAGAATATACATGTAGTCAGAAACTGAAATATAATTTGGAACCAGTACACAACTGAAAAATTAATACACTTAAAATAAAGTACATGTACATTGAACTTTGGCATATTTTAGATTCAGACAATAAAACTTACTAGTACACACTTTACAAAAATGAAATACAGTCCCTGAAACGTTCTACTTTCCCATTTTTCCGTGCGTTCACCGTTCGTTCAGAGTGCTTTCACGGTTCGTTCACCGTGCGTTCACCGTTCGCTCTCTGTTCACAGTTTTGCGTTCACCGTTCACCGTGTGCTCGCATTCACCGTTCACAAAGCGTTCAGCGTTCGCTCTTCGTTCCATTCACTTTGCGTTCAGCGTTCACCTATCGTTCAGTTTTCATTGTCATTCGGAAATCCGAAGTGAAAGGACTTATCTTCTTGTAGGTTAGGAGTTACAGGTTTTTTAATCTAATAACTAACATATCGTGTTTGAAGAATCATTATTTCATGGGGGAAAATATCTACGATATATATTTTTATCATTCTAACTTAGCTGTTAGGTTATTTATTAAATTACTCTGGAAAATAAATGTTGTTATAAGCACATTCTGTACCTATGTAGAACGATGCTGAAATATTAAATTTAACTAAGGGCAATGTGCAAATACTTCAAGCACTGCAACATTTTGTTGTTTTGTTAAAGACGACAAATCGTTAATGGAGATTTAATTATCCAAGTCAAATAATTTCGCAGCAAAATTACGAAAATATTTATTTCTAACACGTTTTTTTTCAATTAAATATGTATTGTATTTCCAGAATATTTTAATTAACATTTTTTAAAAAAAGTTAAGGTCTTTTTAGAACAAAAATTTCAGTCTCAAAACAAACATGCATCTAAAAAAGTCACAAAACAATAGTAGTTCATAATGTACACGTGTCGGCGGTGGTATTTGGAATTGGCAGAGAGTATGTTTCAAATTCAAGTGTTAATGCCCAGTGTATTTTATTCAATTATTATTCATATGTTGGAATCAAATCTAGAAATGATAAAAATAAATGTTATAACTTGTTGGAAATACTCGCACTTCATCTTCGATGTGACGAAACTTTCACACCTGCACAGTGTCGAATGATTTTGATTGACCTGACAAGCACGTGGACTTCGTGTGAACTTGAAGCAGGAAAATAAAAACGAGTATGACTGTCAAACAAATGGATATGATTTGTTGATAAAAAAAAGTTACTTTCACTGTCTGATATATTTAGAAAAAAATTTCAGAGTTTTTGTTTGATATACCGTATTTGGCCGAATATAATACGCATTGGTGTAAAATACGCACCCCCCTTTTTGAGCCTGAAACTGGGGGAAAAACGCAGTTCGGTTGTATTATACGCAGCAGAAAATTTCACCAAGCGGTCTTCTGAACTTTTGAAAATCACGGTAATTTGCTATGAAAATTGGCGCGGAGATAAAGTGCCGAAAATTTACAGAACATGATATTTTATTCAAATGCGTTTTTATTTTTTAATCTTGACTTTCCATATCGCGGCAATCTGGAGGAAATTATTTATTTTAACAAAGCACGAGATAATGTTGCATTAAAGTATTAACAGAGTTTATTATTAATTTTTTTAGCAAACGGTGATATTGAAATTATACGTTGCCGTATTCTAACTATTCTTTGTGGAAATAATTTTATTTCAACAAAGCACGAGATATTGTTGCAAGTTTAACAGTTGTCATATTTCTTTTTAGTTTAAGGTAATCATGTTGAAAATTATGTAAATTTAACAGGGCAAGCGATATTGCAACATCAAAGTATTCATAGACTACGATTTTCCTCTTTTGAACTTGAAATTAATTAATTAAATAAATAGCTGATGTTATAAAAATAAAATCAAAATTTAACAAGCGTATAAAGTGTAGTTATCAACACACCTCCAAAGCTGTGAAAAATGATGTACAAAGGTGGGATATATGTCTTCATACATCGAGGTAATCTTCGTGAATATCTTATTTTCTACAGAGCACGAGTAAATTGATAAACTTAAGTTTCAATATACTTCATATTTCCTTTTTTAACTCTCAACCATTTTAACACGAGGCCGATATAAGATAAAGTAAAATTACAATTAACAAGCGTTTAACTGTTTAATGTGTCGTAATCAACACACGTTTATACATACGAAAGATCATAAACCAACCCCCGATTTTTAACAAAGAAAATAATCAAAGCCATTAATAAGGGCAGTAAATAATCAGTGCTCGAACTGTAAAAACAATGCTTTGGAGTCGGTAAACAATTGAATTGCCTGGAGGGTTGTTGAGGGGTAATTATCAAGTGACAAGCGCACGTGTTCACAACACTGGCTTCCATTCATTGGGACGTATAGAGGGGTGTTTTTGTTGAAATGAATTTTCACTGAGTTGTTTAAAACCTAAAATAAAATTTTATTTTATTGTATTTCATTAAAAAATGACTTGTAACTTTTTTGACCGAGTGTCTGACTGATTAGGTACATGTGTACTATGATTACGGAAGCACGTGGCAAAGGAATGTGTGAACATCTATAAATAACATCGTTAATGGCGGCCTACACGGAGACGATGAACATGCAGCTCAAATTAATTTTAACTTGCTTTTAAATTTAATTTAACTATCAAAAGGTTATAAATATAACATTTTTAACAATTCTACATTCCAACAATAACTTTCCGAAGTTTTAAATACGGCGATAAACAGCAAGATATTGCACAAGTCTCTAGGTAACACTACGGTATGTGCGTATGATAGCCGTGTTTTACATGAAAGAAAAACCTATCAAAATCCCATTGTGGTGTAAAATACGCACCCCTTTCTCACAGAAAATTATTTTGGGAAAAAAGTGCGTATTATATTCAGCCAAATACGGTAGTTACAAACATTTAGTAAAGCCTGAAATGGGAGGGGGGGGGCTAAAACGGAATATTTTTCTCTCTCTCTCTCTTGTCTGTTTAATAAAAACTATAAGCATATTACTTGAATATCAAGTTCTGAAAATTGAATTTATAACAAATAATATGAAAATGTATCTTTGTATTATCTTGTATGAGTATAATCACGGCCATCTACAGATAAATGTATAAATCTGCTCAATAAACATGGCCGTAGGTACGAGGGGGGGGGCATGCCCCCCTCCCCAATAATATTGCCAATATATAGATTACTATAGTAAACATAGATACTATATGCTTGTGCCCCCGCAATAAAAAGTCTGACGACCTTTTTTTTTTGCTTGTCAGGAAATTTTTGGTAGTGCCCCCTCAGTTATCAACTGAAAATGTATGGCTGTGCCCCCCAAAACCGAATTTGCTTCCCACAGGCCTGATAAATCATCATGAAAAATAGAAATGACACATAATATATTATTGTATTAAAAATTTAAAATACGAGCATATAAATGCAAAACGTCCACTGACCTTTGTAATTATTTTTTTTTTCATTACTTTACACGAAATCGCCTTAACATGGAGATATATGAATGGATGTTACAACCACTTTAATTCATTCTTTAAGTCAGAAATTTTCTCTGATTTGTTATCAAATAACAAAAAACATTTTTATTTTCCAACGGCAACAATTGCAATGTTTAATGCGATAAAAATCGTGTGATTAAAAACTTAATGTGCATGCATCGTCTTTCTCAGGACAATTTTGGAGAATTTATTTTTTATCTTATTTATTCATTCATTTATTGGTTTACTTATTTATTACTGATTTATTTATTTTTTTGACACCTGACATTATAAAACAATAAAATGGTTTCAATGCAAGGAAAAGATCAGAGGCATTCCAAATATATCGTTCATCTTGCGTTCACCGTTCGTTCACCATTCACTTTGCGTTCGCGTTTGCGCTCCGTTCGCGTTCTGCGTTCGCTCACCGTTCGCCGATCGTTCACCAAGTTGTGTTCAGCGTTCACACATCGTTCACTCACCGTTCGCTCTGCGTTTATTCAACGTTTGTTCAGCGTTCGCTCACCGTTCAAGTGGGAAAGTAGAACGTTTCAGGGACTGTACATGTATTTATTGGTGTTGTACATGAATTAAGCTGATAATGCTAGAGCATGGTTATGCAAGCTTCTAGAAAAAAGTGCTTTCTCCATTTTCCAAATTGTTAATGAGTCTGCTTTTAAAACACATCTGTCTATTTACTTGCTTTGAAGTGAATTTTACAATAATGAACTGTTTTACTTGCGGAGCTGCATATACCTTAATTAACTCTTCAAAAAAGCAATTAAATGTATTTTAAAATATTCTTAGTCAATCTGAACGACAAATCATTTTGTCCTTTTATCTACTACTCTAAATCATAGGAATAATAAATAAATTATTTATCACATCATTAAATTTCAATAGTCAAAGCAGAGGATACGTAAAACTCTGTAGAGGTCATGTAAAGGTCGTTCGTTGTCCATCAAGCGTGACTGGACCAGCTGATGTATGTAGTTTATCTGTAGAGAGTGGACCAAGGATTTCCCATCTGTAATTAATTAAAAAGTCAAAACATTTTGAATGATCAGTCAAATGGTTATTCTGGGCAGAATTCAAGATTTCAAGGGAAAAGTTATCCCACTGGTGTAGATAATCAACTGCATATATTGAAATTCAAGTTTATGTCTGCAAACAATAACAAATCATTTACCTACATGTACATACTCTTGTATTTAATGAGAAATGTATTACTGGAAATGAATCTAAATGAAAAACTGTTGTTTTTGCACAGTTTATAGGCTTCAATGTATTAAAAGTGTCAGAAATTTAAAAAAAAATTGAAAGATGCCATTGTCAACATCTTTAACTGACTTTACTTTGAAAGAAGTAAATTTCATATAAAATAATGAGTCAATCTTTTTCATTTTTTGATAGAGAACAGAGGTACTCAATTGGAAAATTGACCAGTTATCCAGTTACTTGAGTCACCTATACAGTTACACACCTCCAGTTTCTGGATCCTCCACCAAAAGACTGATGTCCAGTAATCTCCATGGAATCTTAGGACTGTCTCCCATCAACGTCAAAGTGGCCTGAAAATTAAATAGTGTTTACAGATACTATATTTATGTACAGTATATGAAATCAATGTTTTCTCTAAATTTTGCAATACATATTAGGTGTAAAGGCTATATTTCATTCTGTCTTTGTAATAAGCAAAACTAAAGAAGGCTTATACATGCATGTACTTTACTCTGACATTAGAAATACAGATTATGGAAACTGATTTTTTCTCATGGTGCATTTGTCAAGTGACAAAATCTTACCTCAAATTCATGTTCAACATGAAATTTCACCCGGCCATTTTCTGAAAAGACAAATATAATTTTTATGATTTAGTAATGTTTATGAGGAGATTTGTACAAAATCTATGCCTTACCCACTGTGAGTTTTCTCATCTGTTGGGGGTAGGTATGTGGCCATAGCCTGTACTGTATGATCTATATGCAGTTGTAAGACTGTATTGTATGACCTGTGTCTAAGCCACTTTGAGTTTCCTCATCTGTTGGGGGAGATCTGTGGCCACTAACCTGTATTATATGACCTATACAGGGCTCGACATTAACGCTTGTCCGCTTGCCCGGTACCAGTGAAAAAAAAATACGGACAAGTGAATATTGCTGGGCACTTGTCCGATTGGACAAGTGCATTTTAATGTAAAGGAGTCTCTAGATAATAATAAGAACGACTGTGAAAGATAATCGGTAGCTGTACATAAAAACCAGACTTCGATCCCGATAGGGATCGCTACTAATTGAGTTCACATTGATTCGGGATCGACGTTCACTAATTGCATACTACTGAAAAGGCATGGAACTTACGAACTTAACGATCGAAGTTTTGTTCACTTGTGGACATTTATGTTGTCAGGACAGAAAGCCTAGATAAAATTTCGTTTTATGTGTTTGTTGTAAATATCAATGACATCACGAATCAATCAAGCACATGTCATGTGTAATGGACTTTATTTTAGTTTTCAAGTTGACAGTATTAGATCTTTATTGAAAATTTTTCGGACAAGTGAAGTTGAAGTTCGGACAAGTAAATGTCTTGGTCACTTGTCCGAATGGACAAGTAAGAAAAAAAGTTAATGTCGAGCCCTGCCTATATCTTACCCACTTTGAGTTTCCTCATCTGTTGGGGGAGATCTGTGACCAATAATCTGTACTGTATGACCTATATCTTACCCACTTTGAGTTTCCTCATCTGTTGGGGGAGATCTGTGACAAATAATCTGTACTGTATGACCTATATCTTACCCACTTTGAGTTTCCTCATCTGTTGGGGGAGATCTGTGGCCACTAGCCTGTATTGTATGACTTGTGTCAATCTCTGTAGGGTCTGTCTTTTCTCAGCTGAGGTTATGGCATCAGGGGGAACAATCTTATCCTGTTACACAATACATTTACATATATCTTAATTCAAACAAAGTGAGTACAATCAAATATATTTGAGAACATTACAATTAACTATGTAATTTTGAACATACATAACACCCCTTTCCTTCAATTTTCTAAAGCTCTATGTACAAACATTATTCAGAAAGAAAAGATATCATAAAACAGTATAAAATGTGGATAATTAAATGTTGTGGATAATTCAAGTGTACAACTTCTTCAATGAAAAATTATTATCATCTGTGTTTCCTGGATATGGAAACTTATGTGAGAAGATGGGGGTATAACACATACTCGGATACAGGAGGGGAGTCTGGGATAGGTCCCCAGGGTCAGGACGTCAATGGCACAGGGCAGGGAAAAGGTGGGCAGTCTGTAAAAACACAAAAACCAAGTTATTGGATAAAACAAATTCATCAGATGCAAAAAGCAAGGCAGTCAAAATTCACGTGTAAAAAAAAAAAAAAAAACAAATATACACAAAGATTTTACTTTTAAATGACAATAAAAATTCAAACTCCCTTCAATTCCTCCTTAAAATATTAGGTTTTTTGAAAATATAATAATAGTAAGGTCATTAAATGATACATCTTTTGACCAAGTGATTAAAATGACTTGAAATAAAGAAAGAGAATCCAACCTTGCATTGACCAGTGTTTCTCGGGCCATTTTGGCCAACATGTCTGCTGTCTCCACAAACCACATGGACTGCTGCTCCAGAAAACTGCAGATCTCCTACAAAATCAGACTTACCAAATTAATCATACTTAAATGAGTCAAATGAGTAAAACTTAACCTAGATTACAGATCTCCTAGAAAATCAGATAATCAAACTAGTCCAGTAAGCAAAATTTTAACCTGGGAGTGTCATGCATATCATAACCATTAATGGCATTACACATTATGGCAAATTTGCTTCCCTCAGTAGCATTTTTTAGTCCTCGATCTATTTAGCCTATACCTACTGACAAGATTAAGAATTACGAATACACACTGACAGTAAAAATGTATGGAATTAAGTACTTACATTTTAAATGTATGGAATGAAGTACTTAATATATTTTGTACACTGTTCCGAATCAGCAGTTTTTGGAATTCATAAGTTATGATCTTGTTTATCAGTTACAGTCAGGTACTTAAATCTAATACAAGAGAGACTGCTTGTTTTCTTACATCAAATAAGAGAGTGACATAAGATTACAGAAAGAGTCTAAAATCTAAACAGGAGATTTACAATTGGACAGAGATCACTACTTACAGAGCACTTGTCCACCTTTGTGGCGCTGCTGGCCCACTTGACCAGAGCCAGTAAGCGTATAAACAGCTGTCTGGTCCTGCTGGCAAACTGGACAATCTCTACCTTCCTCTCCATGTCCGTCTTACGGGGAAGTCTGAAGAGTAATCAATCTCTTAGCTTACTTCTTACTCACATAATAACAGGACATTTAGCTAGAATGAGGAATATCAATATGTTTAATATATTCTAAGTTCATTGCCTTTCACATTTAGCATGTATAATGCACACAAGTGAATTTCTTTCGATAGCTATATATAGTGTACATTGCAAATATCAATCAAAATGCAGCTAAACTGTTAATAATTTATTAATATTGCATCATCATTAGAATACTTACAGTTCAGACAGCACTGTTAACTCGTGGTAGGTTCTCTGTACAATGTAGTCAATCAGGGTCGCGAGGGGAATAGTGCCCCCTCCTGGGGCCCCTCCGGGCATTCCCATGTGGGAATCAATGATTGGTGGCATGGTATATATATATAGGGCTTGAATTCTAAAAATTAAAAAAAAATCAAATTCACTTCTTTGGTGGAAATACAAAAGGTACAGAATTTTCAAGGCTGCTTACATGCAAGTTATAGCATCTGATTTTTTGCTATAATCATAATAATGATACCACACCAGTATTTTTTAATTTTTTATATGATATGGTACTTTTTAACAATTAGATCTACACACAGGCATTTGGATCGCTTAAATCCGACTAAAAAAAATTGGGGTGTTTAAAAAAGATAAAGGTATGGAACTCCTTACATAGGGTTCCCATTCTTTAATAAAATACTTTTAAACCGAATGCTCTAAAGTTTTACTTTCTATTCAAATCTATTCATATATAATCAATCTGCATTAGTACCAAAGTTCATTCCCAAATTCTGTGTACTTCCCGAGATATGGTGAAATCAATTCCAAAATTGACCTACTTTTATTTACTCGACATTAGCTTGGGTCCTGGTTATTCATATGTATACAGATGGTGATTGAACTGCAGTGAACAGCTGCATAGTATTTGCACAATCTTACAACATAAAAATTGATTTTTTTTTACTCCAGATCATAAGGTTAAGTCAGTAATAATTCCTTATGCAAAAAAATTAAGAAAATATTTGCTTCAACAACTGCACAGCCATGTTGTTTAATAATGTACAAAGAACTATGATTGAATGAATTTTTCCAGGAATGTGTAATATACCTTTTGATTTTTTAAAAATGATACCGCTAAAATGTTGGTGGTAACTTAGTAAGACCACACGATCAAATCAGATAAAATTTTATAGACAGTGAGTGCTAATGAACAAATATTCAGAGAGTATAGAATAAATTCCGGGAAAAATTTGTCATGTCGTTCTCGCTTTACAATTAGTGTAACTATTCAGAGGCCCATGCTAATGTCGAATAAAAAAATTAGGTCAATTTTGGAATTGATTTCAGCATCATGAGCGTATCTCGGGAAGTATAAAGATTTTCTGAATAAACTTTGGTAGTAACGTAGATTGTTTATATGTGAATAGTTAGGCATAGAAAGTAAAGTTTTAGATCATTTGATTTAAAAGTATTTTATTGGCGAATGTGGGTACCCTATGTAACCTTTGTAAATACCTTTATTTTTTTTAGCACCTTAACTTTTTAAAGCGATCTAAAGGCCTGTGGATCTACAAAACCTAGCAAAAATCACATTTCAACTCTAATTATTAGTTGTAGATTATCCTTTAATGGTTCGTGCATATGAAATCAGTCAAACAGAATTATTTTGTATTTCATTTGATTTTTGCGATACAAAATATAGACAAATTGTCAGATAGCAGCCGACCGTCTTTAACTTTCTGCTGGAGAAACCTATAAATTGCCATTCGGTCCCTGTGAATTTCCGTGTATCTTTAAATGTCAAACAAGAAAACGTCTTACCTAATTCTTTTGGTTCATCCTTTTCGGTTAAAAGTATAGAAAATTGTGAAAATGCGGCAAGCACCGTGACAGAGTCTCCATTTTTAAATTCTGGATTATCGAACCTTGATAATAGTTTGTCAAGTTGTTCTCAAAATTATTCGCACAAAAGCCTGTCTGATATACTCTATTCGTAGATGACAGAGCCAGTTTAAGTCATTTCAAGCTTTTCCATTTGTTTATCACCTATTCTTGATTTAAATACGTACTTATCTATTTTTAAAAAGTAACAACAACAAAAAATAAAAACTCAGACGCACAGACGGAAATGCATGAAATTCGTTTTCAATGTCTGCATGTTGTTTTGGCTGAATCTGATACAATGGCAGGCCTATTGGTAAATTTGCTTTAAAAAACTTCAGAAAAATAAAATTTTCATGTGCATATTTTAAAAAAATGTAAGAATGTAGATTAGTTGGAGAAATATTGTTGTGGGTTTCAGTCATGGGATTAACCAAACTAGTAACAAGATCAAAAAGCCCCCCCCCCTTTTTTCAGTTTCTTTTTTTCTTGAATTGATTTTTAAAAATATGCATATTTTTTCCTATGTTTCGGATTGAGTGAAATTCGTGAAAAACGGAGAGCTTCTTATTTAAAAGCTTGCCATTTCACTTGTAAGCATTATCCATGCGAACGCAGTTTTGAAATCCAGATTCTAGTATTTGACTATATAAGACACAATCCAAAGCCAAGTAAATTCTTCTTAAGTAACAAGATCAAAAAGCCCCCCCCCCCTTTTTTTCAGTTTCTTTTTTTCTTGAATTGATTTTTAAAAATATGCATATTTTTTCCTATGTTTCGGATTGAGTGAAATTCGTGAAAAACGGAGAGCTTCTTATTTAAAAGCTTGCCATTTCACTTGTAAGCATTATCCATGCGAACGCAGTTTTGAAATCCAGATACTAGTATTTGACTAGATAAGACACAATCCAAAGCCAAGTAAATTCTTCTTACTTATTCTTCTTATACTTATACTTTGCTTATACTTTCTAGAAAAAAAAAATAAGGGTTACAAACTCAAACATGGAATTTCATTTCCTTTTTATTTTAATTTGTTTATCGTTTACTCGTTTATTTTCTATAATTATATGTTTCATTTTAAACTCGTTATTATCATTGAGCACGTAGGAAATTGAAATCACGCCCCCCCCCCCCCCTTCCAATGAAAGGCCTTATATTATATTGTTCTTTTAAAGCTTTAATTTTAAATCTGAAAAAAATGTTGGATCCTTCCCTCGACAGTGCTGCCATCATTTGTCTCGCATCACTCTCATGGGTAATATAAAGATTAGCGTTAATTGCGCTTTGATTGAATTCAGTCTAAAGCAACACCGGAGAAAATCCACAGAATTTCTTCCCATGTAACAAGATCAAAAAGCCCCCCCCCCCTTTTTTCAGTTTCTTTTTTTCTTGAATTGATTTTTAAAAATATGCATATTTTTTCCTATGTTTCGGATTGAGTGAAATTCGTGAAAAACGGAGAGCTTCTTATTTAAAAGCTTGCCATTTCACTTGTAAGCATTATCCATGCGAACGCAGTTTTGAAATCCAGATACTAGTATTTGACTATATAAGACACAATCCAAAGCCAAGTAAATTCTTCTTAGTAACAAGATCAAAAAGCCCCCCCCCCTTTTTTTCAGTTTCTTTTTTTCTTGAATTGATTTTTAAAAATATGCATATTTTTTCCTATGTTTCGGATTGAGTGAAATTCGTGAAAAACGGAGAGCTTCTTATTTAAAAGCTTGCCATTTCACTTGTAAGCATTATCCATGCGAACGCAGTTTTGAAATCCAGATACTAGTATTTGACTATATAAGACACAATCCAAAGCCAAGTAAATTCTTCTTAAGTAACAAGATCAAAAAGCCCCCCCCCCCCTTTTTCAGTTTCTTTTTTTCTTGAATTGATTTTTAAAAATATGCATATTTTTTCCTATGTTTCGGATTGAGTGAAATTCGTGAAAAACGGAGAGCTTCTTATTTAAAAGCTTGCCATTTCACTTGTAAGCATTATCCATGCGAATGCAGTTTTGAAATCCAGATACTAGTATTTGACTATATAAGACACAATCCAAAGCCAAGTAAATTCTTCTTAACCATCCCAAGAAATCCCGTCCGGTTTAGCTATGAGCTGAACTCAATACAAGTGTTATTAACGCTAATCACCGATATTCCCCTAAGAGTGATTCCAGACAATTTATGGCAAAATCTTGTAGAGGTGGATCTAAAAAAAAAATACTTTTACAAATATTTTCCTCGGATGTCATTGATAATTATAGCATTTATTTCCTTTAATATGCTCCATATGATTTTGCTACCACGCGTTCTTCTACCTTTTTGCATGTGGAATTTATTTAAATTTTATTTAGAATTAATTAAATTTATCTTGAAATTTAGCGATTTCTTTTTTATTATAGCTTTAAAATATTTTTAAATCTAAGGAAAATCTATAGTGTACAAGTCCCTCTAAGACACCGTGAGCTACCCCATACCCTGCATATTTAACTTACCCATTGAGAAGAAGGTAAACATGGCCTATTTACACCCTTCCTACTACGCATTCAAAGGCAATATTTCTCCATGTTTGAAATTTTAATTCTTTTCCCCCAGACACTCTCCTTCCCATCTATGCCCTAAAATCAGCCCATTCCACCCCGTATACATCCGAAGACATATTTATGAAAAAACCTGTGTTTTTATATGGCACTACTTGCGTGGTCAATGAAAAGGGGTAAAATTAGTAACCTGTGATACGCTTATACTTTCTAGAAAAAAAAAAAAAGGGTTACAAACTCAAACATGGAATTTCATTTCCTTTTTATTTTAATTTGTTTATCGTTTACTCGTTTATTTTCTATAATTATATGTTTCATTTTAAACTCGTTATTATCATTGAGCACGTAGGAAATTGAAATCACGCCCCCCCCCCCCTTCCAATGAAAGGCCTTATATTATATTGTTCTTTTAAAGCTTTAATTTTAAATCTGAAAAAAATGTTGGATCCTTCCCTCGACAGTGCTGCCATCATTTGTCTCGCATCACTCTCATGGGTAATATAAAGATTAGCGTTAATTGCGCTTTGATTGAATTCAGTCTAAAGCAACACCGGAGAAAATCCACAGAATTTCTTCCCATGTAACAAGATCAAAAAGCCCCCCCCCCCTTTTTTCAGTTTCTTTTTTTCTTGAATTGATTTTTAAAAATATGCATATTTTTTCCTATGTTTCGGATTGAGTGAAATTCGTGAAAAACGGAGAGCTTCTTATTTAAAAGCTTGCCATTTCACTTGTAAGCATTATCCATGCGAACGCAGTTTTGAAATCCAGATACTAGTATTTGACTATATAAGACACAATCCAAAGCCAAGTAAATTCTTCTTAGTAACAAGATCAAAAAGCCCCCCCCCCTTTTTTTCAGTTTCTTTTTTTCTTGAATTGATTTTTAAAAATATGCATATTTTTTCCTATGTTTCGGATTGAGTGAAATTCGTGAAAAACGGAGAGCTTCTTATTTAAAAGCTTGCCATTTCACTTGTAAGCATTATCCATGC